GGCTACCTCGTGTTTCCAATTCCAAGATTTGAAACATAATTTCTTCAAATTATCTTCAGTAAAGACGTGATTGACAAGACCTAGTCCGTTACATATTTTTAATGTTGGAATAGAACTTCCATTACTGGTCATAATGCCAGCACTCTCCTGGCCCCAGTGCTGCAGCTTCACCAGACCGAGGGTAATCACATAAGGTACATCCATCTGTGTGGGCCACTCTCCAGAGGCGATGCTTCTGAACACACCATGTTCTCAGATCCCCAACTATTCCAGCTATTGTCATTGCCAAGAGCACATGGTGGAATCTCCTGCTGCAGCCGAGATCCATGTGCAAACCAGCTGTCACAACGGCTCTGACGCCTTCAAGACAAGCTGCTTCCTGCCCAGTGGATAGACCCTCGCCAAATTTGAATTTTGAAGTACCATTTACAAAAAACACCATAAAGTCTGAAATATTTACGTATAAAATAAACTATGCTTAATAGTATGTATAAAAAGATTTATGTTGAAAATTATAAAGTACTGATAACAAAGGCAAGACATAGATAAATATAAACCATTGCCATGTTCAGTAATTAGAAAGCTCAGGATCATTAAAATTTCTTCCAAATTGATTCAACACTATTCCAATTAAAATCTCAGCATGATTTTTGTAGAAATCCAAAAACTGATTCTGAAATTTACATGGAAATAATGTGGAACAAAGTTCAAAACTGACAAAACCAAAAGAGAGGAATAGTAGTTTGATAGACTGGTAGAACTTCTGAGACAGTGTTTCTCATTTACATTTCAAGTTTGGGGCTGAAACTATACTAGACTCAAACAACAGACAAACCTATACAGTGAATTATGATATCAGAGAGGAATACGCTCATTAGAACAATGAACAACACAGAATCAAAAGGGACAAAGTTCAGAAGGCAGGACAGAGGAAACACAAGGAGGGAGTAAGAAGAGTGTGGCTAAGTGTGAGTATTGTAATCACTGTCAAGAAACAAAATATCTAAGGATTGTTGAATGGAAAACCAACGTACTCTGCCAAAAAAAAAGTTATTCACTCAAATCACTATAAAAGATTGTTGTTGTTATGTGCCGTCGAGTCGTTTCTGACTCATAGCGACCCTATGCACAACAGCCCTAAACCCTGCTCTATCCTGTGCCAACCTCACTGCCTCTGACACACCCATCCGGATTACCCCAGTCACTGAATCAATCCATCTCATAGAGGGTCTTCCCCTCCTGCGCTGTCCCTCCACCCTCCCAAGCATGATGTCCCTCTCCAAGGACCCGTCCCTCCTGGCAACATGTCCAAAGTATGTCAGACGAAGCCCCAGAATCCTTGCCTCCAAGGAGTAGCTTGGTTTAATCCTCTCCAAGATGAATCTGTTTGTTTTCCTGGCAGTCCATGGTACATTCAGTACCCTTCTCCAGCACCACAGCTCAAAAGCATCCACTCTCCTTCTGTCCTCCCTAGTCATTGTCCAACTCTGATGCATAACAAGCGATTGCAAATACCATGACCTGTATCAGGCGCACCTTAGTCTCCAGAGAGACACTGTTGCTCCTGAGTACCTTAGAGAGGTCCCTAACAGCAGACTTTCCCATCGCGATACGCTTTTTGATTTCCTGACTGCTGGTACCAAGAGTGTTGACTGTGGAGCCGAGCAAACTGAAGCTGTGAACACTCTGAATCTCTTCGTCATCCATCCTGACACTGCTAATTGGTCCAGTGGTGAGAATCTTTGTCTTCTTGACATTGAGCCTTAGTCCATACTGAAGGCTGCAGTCCTTGACCCTTCGCAGCAAGTGCATGAGGTCCTCCTCAGTTTCAGCAAGCAGGGTTGTGTCATCTGCATAACGGAGATTGTTAATAGATCTTCCACCAATCCTGATGCCACAATTCTCCTCATAGAGCCCAGCCTCTCGAATAATCTGCTCTGCATACATGTTGAAAAGGTATGGAGACAGGATGCATCCCTGGCGTACACCCTTCCCAATTTTGAACCATGCAGTGTTACCCTGCTCTGTTCTGACTACTGCCTCTTGGTCCAAGTATAGGATTCGTATTAGCACAATTAAATGTTCTGGGATTCCCATTCTTCTCAGAGTCAGCCACAGTTTGTTATGATCCACACAGTCAAATGCCTTTGCACAATCAATGAAACACAGATAGACATTCTTCTGCTATTCTCTGCTTTCAGCCAAGATCCATCTAACATCAGCAACAATATCCCTAGTACCACGACCCCTTCTAAACCAGCCTGGACTTCCGGCAGTTCTCTGCTGATGTGCTGTTCTAATCGTTTTTGGATGATCTTCAGTAGAATCTTGCTTGCATGTGGAATCAATGACACTGTTCTGTAGTTTCCACACTCAGTTGGGTCACCTTTCTTTGGAATGGGAACAAATATAGATCTCTTCCAGTCAGTTGGCCAAGTGGTTGTTCTCCAGATTTCTTGGCACAACTTGGTGAGCACATCCAGGGCAACATCTGTTATCTGAAATACTTCAATTGGTATACCATCTATTCCTGGGGCCTTATTAAATTTACGTGAAAAAGCAAAATTCAGAAGTCGTTGCCAGGGAAATGTGACCCTTCCTGAGACTGTAAACCTTAACAAGCAAAGAGTGTCCATCCTTCTCTCTTGGAACCAGGGGTGGAATTGAAGGTGGTTTGTGACCTTCTGATTAGCAGAACAATTTTCTGTGCACCCTGGATGGGCTCACCAGCTTATGCCAGGAAATTTTGAGAACATTGCTAACGGATTGCAAGAGAACCATATTTGTCCCCATTCCCAAGAAAACTAACCCAACAGAATGCAAAAATTATAGAACAATATCATTAATATCTCATGCAAACAAATTATTGTTAAAGTTCATTCAAAAATGGCTAGAACAATACATTGACAGGGAACTACCAGGAATGCAAGCTAGATTTAGAAGAGGCACCTAGTGTCATTGCTGATGTCAGATGGATCCTGGCTGAAAGCAAAGAATATCAGAAGAATATATATTTTTGTTAATATTGACTATGCAAAAACATTGACTATGTAGATCTAACAAATTATGGCTCATACTAAGATGAATGGGGATTCCGGAACACACTTAATTGTGCTCATTTGGAATTTATACCTAGACCAAAAGCTGTGTTCTGAATTGAAGTAGGGAACACTGCATGGTTTAAACTCAGGAATAGTGTGTTTCAGGGATATATTCTTCATACTAGCATACCAATCTATATATGCTGAGCAAATAATTCAGAAAGACAAGACTCTATGAAGAAGAATGTGGCATCAGGATTGGATGAAGACTCATCATCCACCTCCATTATGCAGATGACAAAACTCTGTTAGCTGATAAGTGAGGAGAATATGAAAAGCTTTCTGCAGAAGATCAAGAATTACAGCCTTCGGTATAGATTACATTTCAACATCCGGAAAACAAAGATCCTCACTATAGGCCCAACAGTCAACATTATAATAGATGGAGAAAACATTGAACTTATCAATGATTTAATCTTCCTTAGATCAACAATTAATATCCTTGGTACCAGCAGTCAAGAAATCAGGAGATGTATTGCAATGAGTAAGTCAGAGATCTCTCTAAACTGCTGCTGCTGTTATGTGCCGTCGAGTTGCTTGCGACTCATAGCGACCCTATGTACAACAGCCCTAAACTCTGCTCTGTCCTGTGCTAATCACACTGTCTCCGATACACCCATCCTGATTACCCCTGTCATTGAAACAATCCACCTCATAGAGGGCCTTCCCCTCCTGCACTGTCTCTCCACCCTACACAAGCATGATGTCCCTCTCCAAGAACCGGTCCCTCCTTACATCATGCCCAAAGTATGTTAGACGGAGCATCAGAATCCTTGCCTTCAGGGAGCCTCCTGGTTTAACCCTTTCCAGGATGAATCTCTTTGTTTTCCTAGCAGTCCATGGTAACTTCAATACTCATCTCCAGCACCACAGCTCAAAGACATCAATTCTCCTTCTATCCTCCTTAGTCACTGTGTTGAAAAGCAATAATGTCAGTTTCAGGACTAAGGTGTGCTTGATTCCGGCTATGGTTTTCTCAGTCACCTGTTATGCATCAGAAAGCTTGACAAATGAATAAGGATGACAGAAGGAGAATTAATATGTTTGAGTTGTACTGGATAAAAGTACTTTGGGATATGCCTTCATAAAGGTGCAACCAGAGTGGCCCTTAGAGGCAAAGATGATGAAGATGATCTTTCATACTTTGGACATATAGCTATTCCTTGGAAATGGACATTATGCTTGGAAAGATGGAGGGTCAGTGAGGGAAAAGAACACCCTCAACAAGATGGATTGACCTGATGACTTTAGCAATGGGCTTGAGTATGTCAGAGATAATGAGAATTTCACCAAATAGGCTGGCTATTTATATGGTTGCTATGAGTCATACTCAACTTGCCAGTACCTAACAACAACAAGAAGCCACCAGAGCTCCTATAATAACTTTAGGCATACTCTAGCTTAGGGCCATTGGGTAATCTTTGATCCCTAGCCACCATCTGAGTTCCCAGTCCTTGCTGTAGAGAGTAGCTGTGATGCCTGCCTTGTTCCGCAAGATGTTAGAGTTAAAAATGAGAGTGAGTAGAGGGAGTGCTTTGAATTATAGCACAGATGATTGTTTTTTCAGTTATTTTTTCCCTGGCCAAAGTCCATCTACCAAGGAAAGCAGAGTTGGTTACCACTAAGGTTTTACCTGACAAGGCCATTTATTTCTTCAATTTGGGTGATAAGTATTCATGGCCTCACCAGAAACTTTTAAAATTACTAATGATTAAGCTTGTTGTTAAAAATGTTTGGTCAGTGGTATTTTTGAGGAATGTTATGCCTTGAAGGCAAACAGGTGGTGATAATGATTCTAGCTGGTGGTAGATGATGGGTCTTCATATACAAATTTTGGCATGCTTATGCAGATTGCTAGGGGTGCACTAGACTAATCAGCATATTTATCTTTGATTGCAGAGGCCAAAATTGAGTCATGTGGTGGAGTGGATTGATTTTGAGACCTTGGCCCTCCTGTTTGGCATGGTAATTCCAGCCCTCTCATGGGATATAACTCAAACCTACTATAACTGAGACTATATCTTTTGCTACTGCTGCTAATCTTTCATTCTGTTAAAAACACATCACTACTTGGTAACTAGAGCTTAATTTAAAGCTGTTAGTATGTATTTGGTCAAATTTTCCTGGGAAAGAATCGCTGATCATCTGAAAAATTTACCTGTTGGATGGTGGAAAAAGTTACCTTTTATAAGATTTAAGGATACTTTTTAGTTACTTCTCTTAAAAATAAAGAAAATATCTCAATTTCATAAACCAGAAAAAAATTTTGGTGATTGGAAAAGAACATTTAACATATAAAGGAATAATGATTCCTAAATAATCACGTATTTGTCACTGACATTGTCAAAGGAACACTCTACGCAAAGCAGCTGCTCTCAGAAAAGGAGGGTGAGTAGCACAGTTTAAAGTGTCTCTAAATTGTATTTGTAGACACTATTGAATAGATGCATATTTTGGTGTGTATATTATCAATAACAACAAAATAAATAAAATTTAAAGAAGAAGAAGAAAAAAAATGTGTCATTGAGTTCACTGCTATATAGGAGCTTTAATAGCACAAATAAGCTAGTGTGGGGGCACAGTCATGTAATGAAAAATGGTAGAATTTGACAAGGACATGGCTAGCAGAAGATTTGAAGGAAGACTTTCTCCTCCTAGAGGAGGAGTTAGAAGACTTATTCTGTGTAAAACATACTGCAATATGAAGGATCTGTTGCACTAGATTTCGATCTGACCTGAAAAAGTACTGCTTCATCTTTTCGGAAAAGTATGGTAAAATGAGGAATGAGCAGGCAGTGCTCTCACTTTTGCTTCTGGGAGGAACTAATGTTTGTATTAAGTTTTGAAAACCATGTGTTGTTGTTGTTATGTGCTATTGAATCAACCATGACTCATGACCTATGCTCAATAGCTGTGAAGCCTGCCCTAAAGTGAACCAGTTGCACTATTTCTGACACACCTGCCCACATTGCCACAATCATAGTATTAATCTATCTCCTCTAGAGTGTTCCTCTCCTGCACTGACCCTCAATCCTTCTAAGCATGATGTCCTTCTCCAAGGACTGGTTCCTCTTGGCCACATGCCCAAAGTGTATGAGATAGAGTATAGGGTTTAGACATGGAGTAGAGTTTATCATATATGTAATAAAAATTGCTTTTTTTTTTTCTTTTTGTGGCAGCAGTGGGATAAAACATGACTTTTAAATTTAAGAAAATGGGTTAATTTGTTTTTTCTCGACTGAGTATGTTCAGAAAATCTTGCAAGTTCTATGATTCCAAAACTAAGGAGATACCAAAATATATCTTGTATTTTTGTCATGATGATTGCATTGCTCTCTAGATTTTCTGAGGGGTGGTTTTGGAGGCAAATATGTAGTGCCAGCTCAACATCACAATGGGGACCATATGTTGGCTGGGGATTTCAAACTGTGAAATGTACCACCCCTCCAATGGGCTCTCCAATAGGCATTTTGTGTTAGAATGAACATCAGTGGTTAGTTTGGATAACACAGATACTTATACTAGATCTAAACTGACTTACATTTTTTTTAAATTGTGATTTGAATGAAGGTTTCTATAAAGCAAATTATTAATTTTTTTAAGAATTTTATATAATCAATGATTTATTCTTTACCTCACCCCACCCCAGCTTTCTAATATACTGTTTTAATGGGTTGGTTTTTTTGCTTTTCTTTAATACTGGCTTATTTATGAAATTTGTATACACTGTTTTTCACACTAGATCTTTCCCTTTTCCTTTACCTACCCCTCCCTCCACCCATCAAATTGTGTGACCCTATGATTAAGTCCCCTTCCCCCTCTTTACCCCTTGTCCATCCTCACTCCTTTGTTCCCCCAATCTTTCATACACATTTTATCAATAGTATATGAACTTTATTAACTTACGTATATCAGTTTAAAATTATTACCTAACTTGAGAGAGACTGAAGAACATTAGGCTGAGTGAGCTAACTCAGTCCCACAAGGACAAATGCTGTATAAAACCGTTATTGTAGAATGAGTATGAGGATCCAAGGGAGGTGGGGAAGGGTGAAAGCAGATGGGTGAGGATGTGCGGGTGAGGGAGAGATTAATCATGAAGTTGTGCATTTTGATAGGTTGGGGTATGAGGGAAATGGGAATGATATGGTGTGAAAAAAATGTATTTGAATTTTGTAAATAAACTGTTGTTGTTGTTGTTATGTGTTGTTGTGTCGCTTGTGACTTATATTGGCACTATGTACAAGAGCCCTAAACTGTGCTCTAGCCTGTGCCAACCTCACTGTCTCTGACACACCTACTCCCGTTACCCCAATCATGAATCGATCCGTCTTCTTCTCTTGCGCTGTCCCTCCACCTTCCCAGACATGACGTCCGTGTGCGAGGACTGTTCTCTCCTTGCAACATGCCCAAATTATGTCAGAGGAAGCTTCAGAATACTTGCCTCCAAGGAGCAGCCCAGTTTCACCCTCTCCAGGACAGCCTGTTGGTTCTCCTAGCAATCCATTGTATAGTCAACACACTTCACCAGCTCCACAGCTCAAAGCCATCAATTCTCTTTCTATCATATCTAGTCATTGTACAGCTCTCTGAAGCATAGCACACAATTGCAAAGACTGTTATCTGGATCAGGTGCACCTTAGTCTCCAGCCTGATGTTGTTGCTCTTCAGTACTCTTGAGAGGTCCCTGATAGCTGACTTTCCCAGTGCAATTTGTCTCTTGATTTCCTGGCTGCTGGTACCAAGAGTATTGACTGTGAAGCCAAGCAAACTAAAACTGGTAATAATCTCAATCCCTTCACCATCCATAATGATGCTGCCAATTGGCCCAGTGGTGAAAATCTTTGTTTTCTTAATGTTGAGCTTCAATCCATACTGAAAGCTTCAGTCCTTGTCCTTCTGCAGCAAGTGACCTCCTCAGTTTCAGCAAGCAGGGTTGTGTCATCTTCATAAACACAAGTTGATGAATTTTCCTTCAATACTGAGGCCACATTTCTCCTCATACAGCCCAGTGTCCTGGATGATTTGTTCTGCATACAGATTGAAAAGGAACAGAGACAGAATACATCCGTGGAAGACACATTTCCAGATTTTGAACCATGCATTGTCTCCTTCCTCTGTTCTGACAACTGCCTCTTGTTTCAAGTGTAGGTTTTGCATAAGAACAATAAAATGCTCAGGGATTCCTATTCTTCTCAGAGTCAGTCATAGCTTGTTGTAATCCACATAGTCAAAAGCCTTTGCGTAGTCAATGAAGCACAGATAGACATTCCTCTGGTACTCTCTACTTTCTGCCAAGATCCATCTAACATTAGCTGTAATATCCCTACTACCCTTCATTCCAGAAGGGCGTCAGCTTCCTTAATCTCATCTTTTGGGAAAGGTTATCTTCAGTCTCAAATCTACTTCAAACACCACCACAATATCAGATCTAGAAGATACCTGTCTGGACCTTGGAATTATCACATTATGTCAGCAAGGTATACTGAGACAATAAGTCACAGAACTTAGCAGAAGCTCTGTGGACAGGATCTTCCCTCAGTACAGCCTAAGCAAAAATCTTTCTTTGAAGTTGGTGCATGGGATTTGGACTTATATCCTATTAAACAGGAGACGGGCAACAGCATGAGACACCAGTAGAAGTGTGTAGTGCAAGGCATCACAGAAGTGACTGGTGTTCATATTGAGAGGTGTCTGGGGAAGGGAGGGTTTGACCAGGTAGCCGAGTGTGCAAAGAATGGGGCAGTAGTAAGGAAAGGGTAGAGACAAGTCACACATGCTTGGGTTGGGTGGACAGTGAATGTATTGGTTATTTCTGTAAGGGAAGTGTCTTTCACCTGCTAGGTTAAAATACTTGTCTGTTAGCTATTCTTCTAACAGTGAACATTCAAATTAAGATAAACTAGGAAGAAGAATTGGCTATCCACTTCTGAAATATAACTGGCATTTGAAAACCCTATGTACAGAAGAACATACTTACAGTAGACTAATAGAAATGGCAACTGAAGTTGAATCCTCAAATTTGGAAACACAAAGGAAGAGAAACAATTGTAAGAAGAAATTAACAATTGATACATGGAATGAGAGAAGCATCAATGTAGGAAAACTGGACATTGTAAAGAAAGAAATGGGGCACGTAAATATTGTCAAATTGTGTATTAATGAAATGATATGGATTGGCATGGGACATTTTTAATCCCAACATCATATATGCTCTATTATGGAGAGAAAAAAAATGGAGTCACTTTCATAGTTAAAAAGGCCATTTCTAGATCTATCTTGAAATACAATATTGTGAGTGACAGGATAATATCCATACACATACATTAATACCACTATCATTCAAATTTATGTGCCTACAAACAGAGCCAAAAAGGAGGAAATAGATTATTTCTATCAACCATTGCAGTCAGAAATCGATCGAACATATTACCAAGATGCTTTAATAATAATGGGTTAATGGAATGAAAAAGTTGGGAATCAGAAAGAAGGGTCAGTTGTTGGAAAATATGGATTTGGTGACAGAAATGAGGCTGGGGACAGAATGACAAAATTTTGTACAATCAACTATTTATTCATAGCAAATACCTTTTATAAGAAACATAAATTCAGGCTTTACACATGGATTTCACCTGATAGTATGCACAGGAATCAGATTGATTACATCTGTGAAAGGAACCATTGGAAAAGTTAAAAATCAGCGGTAAAAACTAGGCCAGGTTCTGATTGTGGAACAGACCACCCACTGCTCACATTCAATTTCAAATTGAAACTAAAGAAGGTTAAATAATATCCACAGGAATAAAAATGTGACCTTGAGTCTATCTCCCATGAATTTAAAAACTAACTCAGGAATAGGTTTGAGGTCTTGAACACTAATGAATGAAGTCCAGATAAGCTGTGGGAAGTTATCAAGAATATTGTTCATAAAGAATGCAAAAAGTCATTACTAAGAATGAAGAAGA